TTCACATACATTACCACAGTCCAGTGTTTTAATAAGACATCTTTCACATACACTGTTATGGGCCATTATTTTAATATGACATCTTTCATGCACATAAATTACGTTGTCACAGTCCACTGTTTTAATAAGACATCTTTCACATACACTGTCACAGTCCACTGTTTTAATAAGACATCTTTCACATACATTACCACAGTCCAGTGTTTTAATAAGACATCTTTCACATACACTGTTATGGGCCATTATTTTAATATGACATCTTTCATGCACATAAATTACGTTGTCACAGTCCACTGTTTTAATAAGACATCTTTCACATACATTATCACAGTCCACTGTTTTGCTCTGAATGAAGATCCAACACATGAATAAATAATATGAAATAAAAAGTCCATGAATTATTTAACTAGTTGAATGTAATGAGAACTACAGAAGATAAGTGTGATTTACTGTAACGAGAAGGTAAACATATCAGGTTTATCTATGGTCAATGGTGCCATTAGTAGTTCGTGGATCCAGACGATAACCCACATATGTACCGGCATCTCCGGACTAAACTTGCAATTGTATTGGTCATTCAAGCATACACTGTTTCATATATACTCCCTTCTCGTGCTAAACTGGTAAGAAAAACTTCAGACATTAGTGTCTAACATCAAACAATGTATACAGGAATATTACCTGACAAATCCAGTATAATTTCACCCAGAAACTCATTAGGCCTGTGTATGTCGTAGTTCCAGACACTAATTTCCAAGAATGACATAGATAGACTCTCTGACGCCATGTTAGGGTACATCATCGTCTGCTTCCATTCTGGACAGCTGCATCTTGAAAAGTAGCGAGTCCTCTTCTGGTTTTCGGAGCTATTAAGTACAGTACCCCCAAACTTCAGCTTCATAACAAGGCTCTAAGTTTCTTCACAACTTTTTCTTATCAGATAAAAAAATAAAAAGTTTCTCTCGACTTTCTTTAGCAACAAAATTTTACTTGTATCCTGTATTTGAATAAAGCAGTGGTAGTTAGGGATTTAAAATGGCAGATTAGCTCCAGTTTGAATATTTTACTTTATTGCTAGCTCCCAAAAAAAATCGTTCCTATTTCAAAAGTTTGAAGTGAATAACTAGAAATAACCATCTGCTGTGTACACCGCGGGGAATCGAGCCCCGGACTTTAGCGTTGGAATTAAATTCGTAAACTTACCGCTGTCCCACCGGGGGACAGCATGAAAGAAAATTAAATAATTATAACAACACCACTAGTGCCAATATAATTTTTTATACATTGTTTTACGTTATAATATAATATATTATACACAAAATATTGAGAAAAGACAACAGTTGTGGAGATAAATATCTTAAAAATTAATAAAATGTTTTTGTGAATTTAAAACAATTATCAGGTACAAATAAACACAATACTGTTAATTTGATTTGGATCTTAATTACATAACGAAATATAACTCCAAAAAACATAAAACTGGAAGATTATTAAAAAGTGTGACACATGATAACTAGTTTAAGCACAGAAGATAGAGTTAATTAATCAAAACTTCCAGCTAGGTTATTATTATGGGTATCACGTGCGTCTCCTTGAACAATAGATTCCTTTTATAAATACAAGCTGATCAGGCCCGTAAGGGGGTCAGAAAAAGGGCAGGGTGGGAAGAGCTTTTATGGTCACGATGAAACTCCAGGCTACACACTAATACACAATTCTCGTCAAAATCTTAATCTTGACAAATTCATTAGTTAATCACTTTACTCCAAGGTGGCGCATAGGCTGAAATTGTATGTGGTTTGGTCGAGGCGTTTCATCCTTTGCCCATATGGCGAAACATGTAAAACAACTTGTTGCTACTAAAGTCGTCTAGAACTAACAATTTAAATTAACACTCACCCCCTAACGGGACACTAACAATCAAATGAAGCACGCACCACCTAACGCGAAAACTAACAATCAAATGAAGCTGTTACCACCTAACAGGTAACTAACAATCAAATGAAGTACACACCACCTAACGGAAAAACTAATAATCAAAGTTAACACTCACCACCTAACTGGAAAGAGGAAGCACTTGACAAAAGGATCAGGGAGTCCACTGTTGTCTCTGGCTGTCACTAGGTGGCGTGCTCGAATAATAGTAACGTAAAGAACGCTCACTTTGGAATCGTAGCATATTTGAAGCTGAACATACAAAATGAGTTCATTTTTATTAAATAAAAATTATAAGGATTTTATATTCAAGATTAAAAAGAAAATGGAATATTGATATTAGTGTGGTCGGACCATCATGCACACTGAATAGACAAAATATTTTATAACACACACACATTAAACACTTTATAGACTAGAATTACAGTTGAATATTAGCTGGAACCCTGATATTGTAAAATGTTAACATGAAACTAATATTTAAGTCTGAAATAAGTTCCACTAGAAAATGTCCTTAGGTGGCACTGAGGTAGCAGAAATTAGTTCTGGGGGAGGAGTAACTTCTGAAAATAGTGTTCTACATAGTAACTAACACTAATGATAACTGTTCTACAATATATTTAAAACCAAGATGGATTGTTTGTTTATTCAAAGTTTTCGCCCAAAGCTACACAAGGGCTATGTGGTCATGTCTGTTCCTAATTTTGAAATTATTTGCTACAGGTAAGGGAGTCACCCATAGCGCTCACCACCAACTCTTGGGCTACATTTACCTTACCGAATAGTGTGAGATTTTACTGTCATTCTTATAACACATCCAGCCTGCACTGTATTAAAAAAAGTAAAATTAAATATTCAATAAGATCAATAAAACCAAACTTAACTGTTCTTCACAGTAATTAATTAAACTTGAATTAATAGCTTAACATGGCAATTAAAACTTGCAATCAATTATAATACATTAACGAAACATTTTTTTTTAATGAATACTTTTTACAAAATAATTTTTAAAATGATCTAAGTTTAGAAACTGTAATAGCAAACACTCACTTCGATTTCGCCGGTGATGTGGTCTGCTTTAAATCTGTACTGGAAGATTAAAAGTTCAGGTTAGAAATTTTGTTCTCGCTAGTCCTAACGTTTTTACGTAACGGATAAACGCACACAACACCAACAAGGTAAGAATCAGTTGTACGGTCAACAATATTCAGAAAAATAATGGTTAAATAATGGTGAGGGTAAAGAATTATCTCCATCTTTATTGTTATATATATAGTGGAAATATATTGTTATATATATAATGGAAACTAACACTTAGTAAGACTGGTAGAGGATGGAAATAAACAGATTTTATCCATTACCTTGGTGGTAAAACCAAGATGGCAGCCATCAGACAAACCTTACGTTTACAAGTCATCAAGGATCAGAATTTTCTCGCAAATGCAATTGCAGAATGTATAATAAAACTTAGTGAAGATGTATCAGTTTATGTTATTTCTGAAATTTATCGCCATCTCGATTGACAGCATGTAGATCGTTAAGCTCTCCAATCACCGAGAAGTGTTAGGTAAATTCTCACGTTTTACACTATCCAATCACTGAGAAGTGTTAGGTAACTTCTCGCGTTTTACACTCTCCAATCACTGAAAAGTGTTAGGTAAATTCTCACGTTTTACACTATCCAATCACCGAGAAGTATTAGGTAAATTCTCGCGTTTTACAAGACGTGATTTGTGCCGCGAAAGTCTTACCTTGTTGTTCTCACTAAGGCTGTTAGACTTCAGATCAGAATTTTGGGAACCAGTCCAGTTGAGAGGAAGATGATGATTGCAAGTAGAGACAACATTAGGAAGTCTTCTTGTCTCAGACTGAGAGTCTGGCAAACACAGCTCACCAGATTTTGAAAAGACGTTGCTATCGAAGTCTAAAGAGGGAAGGTCACAAAATAACTTATTCTGGGATTAAAGTGAAGACATACATCAATATCCATTTAGTTACACGATGGAAACAGATCTGATTAGGTCAACCAGATATGGATTTAAAACTGTGGTAAATAAAAATGGAGCTGACACAGTGGTTTGGTCGTAAAGACAAACTATAAAGGTGAATCTCCTAGGGTGTAGGGATGGCCGAACTCAGTTAAAAGGAATACTATGAGATGAAGTATAGATGGATATCCTGTGGTCAAGAAGAAACCAATATTCGTGGGTGAGTTGTAAGTGTAGGTAGATATCCTGGGGTCAGGAGCAAGCTTTAGGAGACAACATTCATGGATGTAAGCGTAGGTGGATATCGTGGAGTCAGGAGCAAGCTTTAGGAGACAATATTCGTGGGTGTAAGTGTAGGTGGATATCGTTAGAATATTGATATTAACGTGTTGGGGCCATAAGTTAGAATATTGATATTAACGTGTTGGGACCATAAGTTAGAATATTGATATTAACGTGTTGGGACCATAAGTTAAAATATTGATATTAACGTGTTGGGACCATAAGTTAGAATATTGATATTAATGTGTTGGGACCACAAGTTAGAATATTGATATTAATGTGTTGGGACCATAAGTTAAAATATTGATATTAATGTGTTGGGACCATAAGTTAGAATATTGATATTAATGTGTTGGGACCATAAGTTAGAATATTGATATTAACGTGTTGGGACCACAAGTTAGAATATTGATATTAATGTGTTGGGACCACAAGTTAGAATATTGATATTAATGTGTTGGGACCACAAGTTAGAATATGGATATTAACGTGTTGGGGTCATAAGTTAGAATATTGATATTAATGTTTTGGGACCACAAGTTAGAATATGGATATTAATGTGTTGGGCCCACAAGTTAGAATATTGATATTAACGTGTTGGGACCATAAGTTAGAATATTGATATTAATGTGTTGGGACCACAAGTTAGAATATTGATATTGATATGTTGGGGTCATAAGTTAGAATATTGATATTAATGTGTTGGAACCACAAGTTAGAATATTGATATTAACGTGTTGGGACCATAAGTTAGAATATTGATATTAATGTGTTGGGACCACAAGTTAGAATATTGATATTGATATGTTGGGGTCATAAGTTAAAATATTGATATTAATGTGTTGGGACCATAAGTTAGAATACTGATATTAATGTTTTGGGACCATAAGTTAGAATATTGATATTAACGTGTTGGGACCACAAGTTAGAATATTGATATTAATGTGTTGGGACTACAAGTTAGAATATTGATATTAACGTGTTGGGACCACAAGTTAGAATATCGATATTAATGTGTTGGGACGACAAGTTAGAATATCGATATTAATGTGTTGGGACCACAAGTTAGAATATTGATATTGATATGTTGGGGTCATAAGTTAGAATATTGATATTAATGTGTTGGAATCATAAGTTAGAATATTGATATTGATATGTTGGGACCATAAATATTCTGTCTATTCAGTCTACATGATGAATCATAATGCAGATTGAAAAACAAAATCTTATATATCATGAGACTAATACATCACCGGAATTCACACAGGCTTGATGGACTAGAATTACAGCTGTTAGTTGGAACCCTAGTACAGTAAAAAAGTAATATTTAAGTGTGAATAAGTCACGTCCCACTGGAAAGTATCATTAGTTGTCATTTGAAATAGCATGGTTGACATATTTTCCTTCACTCTTGGGTTCTAATGTAGTTTTGTCCCGTTGATCCTATGGTTACATGACCAGAACGGGAAGACTGGCTTGCTGGTTGGACAGTTCTTGTGAAAACTAGTAAATTAATAAATAATTAACCAGTGTTAATAAAGAATTATAAATAAATAACGTTGTGTTATTAATTCCCGCTACGAAATATAATTTGTAAATGACTATAGTCAAAATGATAATAATTTCAACTTAACACACCGTAACTGTTGTTGTACTGTTGTTGTCCACTTAACACACCGTAACTGTTGTTGTACACGAAAACCGAGGCTTTCCATACAATACCAGGGCTCATGGAGCTGACTGGAGAGCTATATATACATCATAAACAACAGTTACGGTGTGTTAAGTTGACAATACACGAAAACCTATGATGTATACATATAGCTTCTCCAGTCAGCTCCATGAGCCCTGGTATTGTATGGAAAGCCTCGTCAACTTAACACACCGTAACTGTTGTTGTACACGAAAACCTATGATGTATATATAGCATCTCCAGTCAGCTCCATGAGCCCTGGTATTGTATGGAAAAGCCTCGTCAACTTAACACACCGTAACTGTTGTTGTACACGAAAACCTATGATGTATATATAGCATCTCCAGTCAGCTCCATGAGCCCTGGTATTGTATGGAAAGCCTCGTCAACTTAACACACCGTAACTGTTGTTGTACACGAAAACCTATGATGTATATATATAGCTTCTCCAGTCAGCTCCATGAGCCCTGGTATTGTATGGAAAGCCTCGTCAACTTAACACACCGTAACTGTTGTTGTAC